TCACAAGTTCTGGGAAAGCACTGTAAGATATACATTGATGAAGACAAACAAGTAAACAGCCCTCAACTTTACTTTCACGTCTGACTCATCATTCAACGCTTTCAGTGCCTACGGCATATGTTTAGCTATCTGTCACTTCGTGTACCAGAACCACGCACGCAGCGGACAGAATAATGAAATACTAGATTATGACATCAACCAAGATTCATCTGTCAAATCATAAAACACCCGAGAAAGCTCTCTGATTAGACAAAACTGCTTTGTTTACTATGTTTGCATTATCTGTCAGTATAACACACTTGATGACCTGACATTTACCCAAAATAGCACATCTGCGCTTATCTCCATATACATTTACATTTACATATCTAATGCCCTAATGCAAATGCATGATCACCTTCCCTTTTTTGAAAGCAGACTGCCTTCTCTTGTCTGATCTGTGCAACCAAGGAAAAAGACCAGTGAAATCCCCCCAAAGCTCCAGACCTGCTCTGACCTCTTTTTGTTCTGTGCTCACACTGACAGCAACAGTTTTACTACTGCTGTGTGTGGGTGTAATAACAGTCTGTTACATTGCTCCCTTATTGTCACTCACTAGAATAAATACAGTTTTCTTTAAAATAGGTAATCTGAGTCAGTCATCAAATAAATAAAATATGCAATAATAATAAATAATCCTCTTTTGTTCTTTAAAACAGCGGCTCCCAACCTTTTTTAAAGGGCACTGGTCCGTGGCTGGGGGTTGGGGACCGCTGCTTTAAAACAATATAAATTAGATGACTTACATCTCAGGGGGACTTAGAAATGAAAACAAATATAATGCTGATATTCCACATCTGTAAAATACAAATAAAATGTATTTAGGAATGTTTGAAATGTTGTGCACTTTCTCTAAACCTCTAACTAATCTTGAGATTTAGATATTTTTTGCTTTGAATCACCGTTTCACTTTGTGAACCACTTTAAAGTTTGAGAACCAGAATACAAACAAAGTGACTCATCAAGAAATCTTAGATCATGTGTGGGGGGGAAAACATCAGCGGTGAGGATAATACAGTTCTTTGCTGCCCTCTTCAGGTCAAATGCAGAGCAGTCATCAAAGGAAGAAGAAGCATCAAATGCATGCACACGGGGATGCAAAGTCAAAGCACACAAAGGTCACTGCAGTGGGCTTTGTGTGCTTCTATAGCTGTGAAAAACCATCTGCACCATAAAGACAGCAACGCAGTTCAAGCAGAAGCAGGTGTTTGATGGAGACGCTAATAAAAGTGCAGTTTGGATTCAGGATGTGTGAATTAAGTATGTACACACACTCTAAAAAAGTAATTCATCAGGCCTTTTACCACCACTTGATTAAAGCCATGGCTGCAACATAAAAATTCCAATTTATTGATTAAGATAGACCTTCTAAGTTGCAAACTTTATTTTTTTGGGTTGTGTTGAATTAATAATGTTGGTAATTACATTAAATTAATTTTATATGTAATTTGAAATTAAATCCCAATGTTAGTGGGTTCAAAATAAAATTCAAGTTGTAATTACTTAAAGAAATTGAATAGATAACTTATTTTTTTTCCACTGTAACTTCTGATTTCGAATTCCCTGCTCTACCGACTTAACTAGCCCGGGCAAATTCACACATGTTGCGTTGCATGGTGCAAGCTTTTGTAAAAGAGGTAAGTAACATTTCATTTAAAAATAACAGTTCTACCAAAGCAAAGCATTTGTGCTAGTCAGTTGTAGTGGATTTGTGTATGATGTGATGCTCATACAGATAAGGAAATACTTTGCACTACCACATGTAGCTAATGCTAGCCATTCTAAACTTTAGCACAGGAGAGGATAAGACTTATAAAGTTTCATTTGACAAAAGTCTTCAGCTAGAGAGTGCAACTGTGGCTAGGAAAAGCGTGGTTAAGGTTTTGCTACACAGTGCAATCTAATTTTGATCATAGGCTGATTTTGTTTTTCTTTTTACCAAAATTAGAAGCCTTTAAACTGTGAATAGTTTTGTCAGAGGGATAACCTAGGGGCTTCTTTTTTCCGTCTGGCTCACCTATTTTATGTCTTTATAAAACTTGCATGACCTATACGTAATATTACATTGTAAATGATTTTGGTTAGTATTGTCATACAGCTTAAAGTAAGTATTTATCTTGATCTTAAGAGCTGTAGCTATCTTTGTTTTGTTTTTTTTTTAGAAATCAGATTGTGTGAAATATTGTTAATGTCATTCCAATAGCATTATTCTGGCATAGGCTATGTGAATCTACTTAACATTAAAACTTTATGTAAGCAGTTAGTATAGTGTGATAATCTAGGGTCATTAGTGTTTTATTAAGTTGGGACACATTTTTTACAAAATGGGCTGGGAGTGAACAATGTGTAAATTCGAAACCTCTGCAAAAACAGGGTTGCTAAAACATTAGAGATTACACCACGGTTATGGTGGGGAAGTCTCCCTTGTCTTCACCAAGATTGTTTTTGTTCCCTCAAAACTTGGGGTAGCCTTAGATCACATCTATCCTCTTTAAATAATGTATTAGAGCATTCATTAATGCAGTATAGCTAATAGTCTGCAAGGTTTAATTCTTCTGTTTGTGTGGTCTACAGATAAAGGAGGAGTTCAAGAGAATAACCACTGTAAGCCTTGAATGGCTACACTTGACCATTGCACCCCAAAACTGATGGATGTCATTTTATCAAGGGGAGGAGCTAAAGGAGTGAGAATCAGGCAGATCAAGGACATGCTACTTGAGGTAGGACAACTATTTAGACTTTGGGTAGCTTTGAAATGCACTTTGTTGGCAGTCACCCATGTATTTTATACTCATACTTTATTTTTTCTTAAATAGGACAACACAATTGAAACACGCAGAGAAGTAGCCACCTGCTGCCTTATCACTTTCCTTGGAGAGAAGGAAGAGGACCTTTTCATGGAGTTTGGTGTAAGTAAGTCAGCATTGTGTGTGCGTGTGTGTGTGTGTGTGTGTGCGTGTGTTCCATTGATCATCTGAATTCATTAAGATTCAGTAAGTATAAAAGTCTAATCTATAATTCACTAACCTATTTTTTTAAAATTTGCTTTACAAGGACACCGAAGAACTTAAGGCCAACCTTGAAAGGCAGGTGATGAAAACTGCCATCATCAGTGACCGGTACACCCCTGGATCTAACCATAAGACTGCAACTATTGTGGTGGAGGAAACAAAAAATCATGGAGGGCCAGAATTTCCCAAAGTGCTGTGTTTTGCTCATGGGCATAATATGTGCTCTCAATCTGAGCTAATGCAAGGATCTGAAATATACTTTTTTTTATAAAGTTGTTCAGAAGCTGTTCCTTGACCTTGATGGAACCATCATTATGTTAAAGATGTTGACTCTGTTTCAAAAATTGTTAACTGTTTTTAATCCTGTATGTGTAACATTGATCTTAAAGGTCTTTGCTGCATTGTGTAAGAGAAAGATGCAAGATCTTGTAAAGTTTGGTAGGCATTGAAAGTTAACATTTACTGAACACTTGCATGGAAGTATTACTGCAACAAAATGTTTTCTAAGTAGATTTTTTACCAATTGAACACATTTGTTTCTGTGGTGTTAAATACATAAAGGCATATTCTATAACTTGGCTGTGATGGTATAAATCTAAATTTCTGGTTTATTTTCACATTTTAAATACAAAGTGTTGAAATGCCTACAGTTAGAAAATAAAAAAGTTATTTGATAAAAAAAAATGTTGAATGAATTTCTTTCTTAAAAGCTATTACAATTAAAAAAAATAAGAGAAAGCTAAAATGATGATAATAATGATGAAAATGAGCAACTTAATATTTTAAATAATGAACTTTAAAAAATTGTTTTTGTAATTGCTGTAATTAATTAAATAACACTTAAAAATCATTTTAAATAATGTAGAAAAAGTAATTGGAGGAACATAATTTTTATGAGTAAACAACTTAAAAATATGTTTTTAAGCTACCAAATATTACGTAAATGGTAATTAAAATCACCTTTGATTATGGAGGAAAAGTTAATTCCCCTAACTCAATATAGTTTGTTGGTTCAATCTAATTTCAACATAAGTTATCGTAACTCAAAAAGAGTAATGGAAACTGTTGCGTTAATTTTTTGTTGTTGAGCTTAAACAATAGTTTTTAGAGTGCAACGCTTATGTATATATGCATGTATTTGTATTTCTCATTAAGAAAAAGGTCAGCTCAGAGTTTTTGACTTCCTTCTGTGGATGAGCACTGACACCCACACCTCTGTTACGTGTACACCTTTTCTGCTGAGGCTGTAACTTCTCTCTGTGGCTCCTTTGTTCAAACTGCACTCGTGCTGGAAGAGGTTGAACAGTGAAGTGAGAGTAAAGGATGCTCAGGTTTTACGTGCTCCTGGTTCCCCTCTTTAGAGCCTGTAAGTCCTTCACGCTCACTTTTTATTCATTTATGCTGTACATGGGTTGCAATTGCCTTAAATCTCACAATCTTGTGTTTGTGGAACTGTGAATTGGTATTTCAGCAGTCTCTAACTTATCTTGATTTGTGTTCCAGATGGTGCGCTCCTCTACGCTAACCTTGGAGATAATGTGACTTTGCATTGCTCCTTTGCCACCACGGCCAAATATCTCTCCTGGTACAAGCAAGTCATAGGAGAGTCACCTCGAGTCATATCCTCTTTCTACAAACATTTCCTCGACTCCAACATCCTCCACCCCGGGTTTAAAAACAATCAACGCATTTCAGTTGATAGTGGAGAAGATTTCTATCGTCTGAACATTTTTAATGTTCAGGATTCTGACTCGGCCATGTACTACTGTGGACAGACCAGCATCTCAGTCACTAAATTTGACGACGGAACGTTTTTGGTCCTGAGAGGTAATGTGGAAAGTTTTTAAGATTTGGGAATATTAACAATATAAAAACAAATCTGCACTTCCTATTTTAACAATTGTTTTTAATACTTTTTCAGAGTCCAGTCACAGGACTTTCCTAAAGCAGCCAGAATCAAACTCTGTGCAACAAGGAGACTCGGTGACACTGAACTGCACGCTGCTCAAAGGATCCAGTGCCGAAGAAGACGACGTTTACTGGTTCAAAAAGGATACAGTAGATTCTCACTTGGGAATCATGTACATCCACACAAATAGCAGCAGCCAGTGTGCGAAGAGGTCTGAGTTTAGCTGCTCTGCACAGAGATGCGTTTACAGCTTCACAAAGAAGAACGTGAGCCGGTCTGATGTCGGGACGTACTACTGTGCTGTGGCTTCATGTGGCGAGGTGCTTGTTGGGAAAGGCACGAGACTGGATGTCGTAGGTGAGGAGCATATGTGTTAAAACTGAAACCAATTATGGTTTCTTTCACCCTCTTATTTTCCTCTTTTGCTTACTCTACGTTGCTTTGTATGTCTTTGCAGTGAAACAGGACGAAGCTGTCCCTGTCTTGGTTAAGACTGTGGTTGCAGCTCTGGTTGTCTCAGTTATTTTCAATGTAATCTTCTGTGGTACCCTCTGCAAAATAGTCCAGAGAAAAAAGTGTCCCTCTAAAGGTAACTATTGCCTATCATAAAAGCATTCTGATGACTATAAAACATGTCAGCGGTTAAATTTCTCTTTCCTTTCTATTTCTTTCATAAGGGTCACTTCAACAGCCTAATACTCCAGAATACACTGCGAACTATGAGGTTAGTAAATGAGAAAAAGTACAGTACAGTAAGTCTTGAAACGCCTCTGATTTCTTATATTTAGCTTCAAAGCAGCTAGACTTTGTGGTCATTTGTTAAATGGTCTTGAGCAATAGTTCTTCAGGCTTTCTCAAGAGATTTTCTTTGGACTTGAACGGCTTTTTCAGTCATTTTCAGTCCAGTGCCTGACCACTGTGGGGAATAATTATCAAGGGATGAACCAGTGCTGTATCGACACATAACACGCAACTTAACAATGAACAGTGTTGGGAAGGTTCCTTTTAAAATGTATTCCACTACAGATTACAGGATACATGCCCCAAAATGTATTTTGTAACGTATTCCGTTACGTTACTCAATAAGGTAACGTATTCTGAATACTTTGGATTACTTAACATATTATCATGCTTTTTACAACTACATGAATGTACTATTGCTGTGTGATTTATTACTATTACTGAAGAATACTCGCCATACCAATAACAACTAGATTTTTAAATCTTAATATAAAATGAGTAACAGTAGGTTTTTGATACAGGCGACACGGGTGGTTGCCCGGGGCGGCATCATGATGGGAGGGGGGGGCAACATCACGGGCATCGGCAAAAAAAGAAAAAATTGCTCGTACTCATGCTGCCCCGACGTCATGCCAGCGCAAATTGGGAATGGCAGAGGCACCGATCGTTTTTCTATCGCCCATTTGCTGGGAGTAAAGGCGCCCTCCGTTTGCGAGGTGCGCCTGCTGATTGCGGCACTGGGAGGAGAGGGCGGGCCGGCGGGGGATTCTCTGGCTGGCTGCATCTAATAACCAACTCGCAAAAAAACCCCAAAATAAAAACAAACCAACACACACGAAAACACCAGACATTATAATACAGACTTATAATTTGCACCGATGTTTTTTCGAAATTCTATAAGTGAAAAGTGAGCGCGAGAGCCCTCGGTGTGCCTGCTCGCTGCTGAAATCAAAGTAAACTTTATTGTCATCTCCGCTACATACAGTCCAGTATATAGAGAGACGAGACGACGAGGCTCCAGTTACAGCAGTGCAAGTAAACAAACAATAAACTAGGGGTAAAGGGAACTTTAATTTACAGTTTGATGATTTAAAGTCTCACACATAACCCGTCGAAAGGGAAGGGGGGCTGGCTGCTTCCAAATAGAGCACATTTCATTTATAATGTTGTAAATCCAAGCCCATTATGTATTCATGATTTGAATCCTGGGTTGTGTGAAATCTCAGAAATAAACCCTAGACAAAGTGAATCTGTGAACTAAGGTGTAGGTGTGTTAGATTATGTTGTGGTAATCCTCGAGTTGGGGGATGGGTGTTCATACTGGAGTGCAAAATTAAAACCAAGATGGACAAGAAAAGTTCAAAGCCATCAGGTGCTCATTTTAGAAAAAAGAGAAAAGAAGAGGAGGAGAAACGAGAATAC